ACTACCAGTATTGTCGTGTCGGGACGACGCGCGGTAGGTGGCCGAGCGTATGTAGACAGCCTGTACTGTCTGCACAGACAGCCCACGCTGTCTGCCAGCTTAGTTCATATTTTGCGCCACTAAGGTGCTGCCCTCTGTAGCCAGGCCTCTCGTAGGCACGCCAGCCTGTCGGCCCATGCCTCGCGCTCACTCACACAGCGGCCTAGCAGCAAGACACAAGTACTCCCAGCTCTCTCTCGTGGGATGGCCCTGCCCAGCCATGGGCACAAACACACAAGCCTGTGTAACCCACCACTACTTAACAATAAACGAAGAAGCCTCCGAAGATCGTATATCATTTAACCACCCGCTACCAGAATCCCAAACAAACCCGTTATAACAGGGCTGTCTCCCTCTCTTTCTAATTTTCACTCTTCTATCCACTCCCACCCTCTCTCACATATCTAACACAATGCACTTTACAAATACTCACCACTTCCTCTCTGTTGTGATTACATGTGAAGTATGGAGAACAATGGGGTTACATGTACTAAGGGAGGCTGCTGGACTGCCTCCCTCTCTGATTTTCACACTTTTACTCACTCCCACACAATCTTACAACATATCTAACTTGAGACCCTTTACAAATGCCTACTATTCCTCCACTGTTAGGATGAATGTATAAAGTTCCTAAGTATATAGTACATACATAATTGTGTGAGATGTGGTGTGAGTGAGCACAGCTCCTGCTATCCTGCATCTGACACACTGACACATCCTCTTTGCATTTGGGAAAAACTTGAGAAAAAATATTTAGGTTTTAGCCTTGCTAAAACAGTAAATATAAAATCTTGACAAATCCTTATCAAAGAAATAAGAGCTCTCTATACATGCATATAATGAACAAAGTATAACAGCATTTTGTAAAAACTGAGAAAAGTAAAGCACTTATTTAACATCATTTTTGCTTGAATATCAGCAATGATCATAACTGTAGATCAGTGTTTAAATTATCAACAGGTTCCAAGGTGTCCCACTAAGTGTGGATGTTTAAAAGTGGGATGATCATAAACTGGAGACCTACTGTACATATTGTAACTTAATAAATTATATGGGTTATAAACCAGCTTCTAAAATCTACAAGCAAACATCTGTATTTCATTCTTGTGCAAGAGATTGAAAAAAATATAGGAGATAGACACACATTAGAATTGGATATTAGAATAGTCACAGTAACTTCATGAGAATTACAGGTACAGACTATAAAATCTAAGAGCATGGGATCAAACTCAGTAAATATCAACAGTCTAAAACCAGAGAATGTTGAATACTGAACCTTGAGGGAGGGAGTATGGAAGAAGTGAATGTGTTCAAATATTTGGAAGTACACTTGTCAGTGGATGGGTTTGTGAAGGATGAGGTAAACCACTGAATTGATGAAGAAAAAAAGGTGGGTGGTGCATTGAGGTATCTGTGGAAACAAAGAATGTTGTCCATGGAGGCAAAGAAGGGAATATATAGCAGTACCAACACTCTTATATGGGTGTGGAGCATGGGTTACGAATGTTGCAGCGAGGAGGAAGATGGAGGGAGTGGAGATGTTGCATTTAAGGGTAATGTGTGACCTAACTATTATGCAGAGAATTCGGTGTGGAAATTAAGAGGAGGTGCAGAGTTACTAAAAGTATTATTCAGAGGGATGAGGATGAGTTGTTGAGGTGGTTTGGTCATTTAGAGAGGATGGAGCACAACAGGATGACTTGGAGGGCGTATAAATCTGTAGTGGAGGGAAGAAGGGATAGGGGTCTTCCTAGGAAAGGATGGAGTAAAAGAGGTTTTGTGTGATAGGGTCTTGGACATACAGCATGTGCGAGCATGTTAGATAGGAGTGGAGAGGAATGGTTTCTGGGACTTGATGAGTTGTTGGAGTGAGAGCAAGGTAATATTTTGTGAAGGGATGCAGGGAAAGTGGTTAGCCGGACTTGAGTCCTGGAGATGGGAAGTACAATGCCTGCACTTTAAAGGAGGGGTATGGCATACTTGATGTTTGGAGTGACTTCTAATCTGTCGTATCTGTGTGTGTCTGCTTAGACAGTGAATGATGGGTCACCCTGCCTTGGTGGGAGACAGCCAGCGTGTTAAAAAAAAAAACGCCAGAGATTCTCAGGAAGCAGGGCTCAATACAGTGTAAGCTGCAGCAGCACTCTAAGCCTCCAACAACAACTCCCACACCATTTTATTACAATACAGGTTGGTCATCACTAATTCGGCAATCAGTAATTCAGCACTAATTACGACTAGTATAATTTCAAATTTCCAGGGTCACCACACCAACCTGCCGCTACTGTTTGGTGGCGCTACTTGCTGTGTAAGTTATTCCAATTTCTTTTTTTTTCCATTTATTGTTATGACCTGCTCACTTTTAACTCTATCCATGGTTCCAATGAATAAAAGAAATTCTTCTTGTCAACATGACTCATGAAATCGTAATGACACGATTGCAAACAAACCATACCACGGGCAGCGTCATTACGATTTCACGAGTCATGTTGACAGCTTTGAGGGGACTTGAGCTAGAGTTCATCACTGCCATGCTAGCTGGAGATTCATCTGTAAAAACTTGCATTTGTGGTCACAGTGGTGCCTATGCTAACCTTCCTATAGTGCATAAATATACCTAATTGGATGTATCTTATTGTGGCTAGCTGGCCCAGTGGCTAATGCATCGGTCTGGAGTTTTATGACTCTCTGATCGTGAGTTCTAATCCCACCCGTGGTATGGTTTGTTTGCAATCATGTCATTACGATTTCGTGAGTCTACTGATATAGGCGGTGGTGGTGGCTGATACTGCCTGTCTCATTTTTGTAATTATTGTTCGGGGACACATCAACACTCTCCATAGCCTTGAATATCAGCAAGCAAGAACCACTGCTTGTACATTTTTGTAGGGAAACGTGGCTTATTTTTACCAATATTGACATGCTGACATATGATGGTGATGGTGACTGATACTGCCTGTCATATTTTTGTACAGGTAGTGAGCAGGACCAGATCAACTCTCTCCTTACACTTGCATATCAAGAGGCAACAAGAACTACAATCCAAAGTATAAAAAACTATTATTTTTGACAAATTGCAAAATTTTGTCAGAAACCTAACCCTATTTTTCCAGTATGTTCCTCAGTCCACATAACACTACTACTTATACAGCCTAGGTTTTCAAGAACACAACTAGCAGACTAATCAGGTTTCTAGTGTATTCATATTTATTGAGACTTCCCTGAACAGTATAGTAGACAAAACATTAAATTCAAACAAACAATAGCATATAATACAACAGAGAAAGGTTACATAAGAACAACATTGCATCCGTTATTTTCTACACTTAAGAGCCCAATTATTTAATTTCGTTTTAACCCTTAAACTGTCCAAACATAGATCTACGTTTTCAATTCCAGCACTCCAAATATTTTGAGAGAAAAAAAAAAAAGTTTCTTTTTTCTAAATTAAAGAGGGCAATTTTATGAGTGTAATAAGACCAAAAATTTTTTTTTAGGATCAGTACTTACCAAGATATAAGACCACGAAGTTGGCACTGGATGCTCACCTGATGACAACATCGAGTCCTGCCACTTGCAGAAGTAATTGCTGATATACCTTTTTTCTCGTTTTTATTTTAATTTATATAATTTTTATGTTCTGATAATTACAATTTATAGTAGTTCTTGTGATTTCATAGCCAATCTTTGTTCTGACACTAATATTAGGTACTGAAATAGTACTCAAATAGTCACAAAAGCACTGACAGGTGAACATTTTTGCCTGCCTTGTTCATTTACTATTATCTAAAAACACAAAGTATTTATAGGTCTCAGCAATATTTTAGACATGCTGGAATATATATGAAAATCCTTGAAGAATGGTGTTAAGACAAATGTCACTAAACTGCTGACAGTGCAACAATGGAATGACACTTGATAAACGTGCCTGGGCTCCAGGGAGCCCAGGCTTTATTTGTTTTCAATGTTACACACAAACATGTCTGTCCGTCTGTCTGTCTATTTGTCTGCATCTGCTTATCTGTCTTTCTGTCTGCCTGTGTGTTTGTCTTTCCGTCTGCTTGTCTCTCTGTCTCAGAGCGGGGCTTGTAAAGCAACAGGTATTACACACGATGCAAAGTCATCATGTCTCATTCCTGATCAAGTAAAAAATGCATATCACTTGCCAGTCATGCTTATTATGCCTTATATCTACAAGCACTGTATAGCACTTTGCCTGGAATTTTTGGGTTATCCTATGCAATTTACACTATATATAATAACTGTCCTTATGTGTACCTGAGACAGACAGAGACAGATATATAGACAGAGATATAGACAGAGATATAGACAGACAGATATAGATACAGACAGAGAGACAGTCAAAGCCAGCCAGCCAGCCTGCCAAATACATATTACACATTCCAGAAATGTCTCTTTACTTAGGTCATAGGTTATAGGACATTCTGGCAGGATGACACTACCAGTGGTATCAGAAATGAAAGGATGTTGCACAAATGTTGCATATGGGTTATTATTGAGGTTTTTGACATTTTCTCGACCACTTGTGGCCACATCCATCTCAAAACCACTAAACTCTGGGTCAACATCACTTTCCTCATAAAAGGGGAGTGTTAATACAACATGACATCAGTGAATCCCTGGTATTTGCCATGCCATTTGCTCTAGCAGGCACTCAATTGAACTGGTAGTCCCACAAGGTAAGTGGTCCCAGATTTTTTAATACTGCACACACAGAGTGCTAAGACCCATTCTGTACTGGCCCACCATCTCAGGCCAATAGTGCCAAATTTGAAGGCAGGAAAAATAAAACGTAAATCTACGTTTGGAGTGCTAGCGGTACAAACATAGATCTACGTTTGGACAGTTTAAGGGTTAAAAATAATAAATTCTTTATAAAATAATAAACTTTTTTATTAAGGCAGCACAAGTTTTAAGAGATGTATAATATGTACACATACCATTAGCATTGTGAAATCTGGAAGGTGGCCAGTCATACCAAACACTGTGGTTTTGAGGTATCGTTCATGGCCTGCCAAATCAATGAAAGTAATCACCTTGCTAGATGCCTCACAGATCTTGACCCAGTCCAGGTGGCCATGATCAGGTTTGTTCACTACTTTTCCTGTCAGGATTTATACTTTGGTTATAAATGGAAAATCTGATAGAGTTAGTAGAAAAGTTGACAAAAATATCCTAGTACTGGAACACTATGCAGTTGATGATAGCAACACTTGTAATTTTTTTTTTTTCAACAAGTCGGTCGTCTCCCACCGAGGCAGGGTGACCCAAAAAAGAAAGAAAATCCCCAAAAAGAAAATACTTTCATCATCATTCAACACTTTCACCACACTCACACATTATCACTGTTTTTGCAGAGGTGCTCAGAAAACAACAGTTTAGAAGCATATACGTATAAAGATACACAACATATCCCTCCAAACTGCCAATATCCCAAACCCCTCCTTTAAAGTGCAGGCATTGTACTTCCCATTTCCAGGACTCAAGTCCGACTATATGAAAATAACCGGTTTCCCTGAATCCCTTCACTAAATATTACCCTGCTCACACTCCAACAGATCGTCAGGTCCCAAGTACCATTCGTCTCCATTCACTCCTATCTAACACGCTCACGCACGCTTGCTGGAAGTCCAAGCCCCTTACCCACAAAACCTCCTTTACCCCCTCTCTCCAACCCTTTCGAGGACGACCCCTACCCCGCCTTCCTTCCCCTATAGATTTATATGCTTTCCATGTCATTCTACTTTGATCCATTCTCTCTAAATGACCAAACCACCTCAACAACCCCTCTTCTGCCCTCTGACTAATACTTTATTAACTCCACACCTTCTCCTAATTTCCACACTCCGAATTTTCTGCATAATATTTACACCACACATTGCCCTTAAACAGGACATCTCCACTGCCTCCAACCGTCTCCTCGCTGCTGCATTTACCACCCAAGCTTCACACCCATATAAGAGTGTTGGTACTACTATACTTTCATACATTCCCTTCTTTGCCTCCATAGATAACGTTTTTTGACTCCACATATACCTCAACGCACCACTCACCTTTTTTCCCTCATCAATTCTATGATTAACCTCATCCTTCATAAATCCATCCGCCGACACGTCAACTCCCAAGTATCTGAAAACATTCACTTCTTCCATACTCCTCCTCCCCAATTTGATATCCAATTTTTCTTTATCTAAATCATTTGACACCCTCATCACCTTACTCTTTTCTATGTTCACTTTCAACTTTCTACCTTTACACACATTCCCAAACTCATCCATAACCTTTGCAATTTTTCTTTAGAATCTCCCATAAGCACAGTATCATCAGCAAAAAGTAACTGTGTCAATTCCCATTTTGAATTTGATTCCCATAATTTAATCCCACCCCTCCCCCAAACACCCTAGCATTTACTTCCTTAACAACCCCATCTATAAATATATTAAACAACCATGGTGGACATTACACATCCCCGTCTAAGACCTACTTTTACCGGGAAGTAGTCTCCCTCTCTTCTACACACCCTAACCTGAGCCTCACTATCCTCATAAAAACTCTTTACAGCATTTAGTAACTTACCACCTATTCCATATACTTGCAACATCTGCCACATTGCTTCCCTATCCACTCTATCATATGCCTTTTCTAAATCCATAAATGCAATAAAAACTTCCCTACCTTTATCTAAATACTGTTCACATATATGCTTCAATGTAAACACTTGATCTACACATCCCCTACCCACTCTGAAGCCTCCCTGCTCATCCGCAATCCTACGTTCTGTCTTACCTCTAATTCTTTCAATTATAACCCTACCGTATGCTTTTCCTGGTATACTCAGTAAACTTATTCCTCTATAATTTTTACAATCTCTTTTGTCCCCTTTCCCTTTTATATAAAGGGATTATACATGCTCTCCGCCAATCCCTAGGTACCTTCCCCTCTTTCATACATTTATTAAACGAAAGTACCAACCACTCCAACACTATATCCCCCCCTGCTTTAACATTTCTGTCATGATCCCATCAGTTCAAGCTGCTTTACCCCCTTTCATTCTACGTAATGCCTCACGTACCTCCATCACACTTACATTCTGCTCTTCTTCACTCCTAAAAGATGGTATACCTCCCTGGCCAGTGTATGAAATTACCGCCTCCCTTTCTTCCTCAACATTTAAAAGTTCCTCAAAATATTCTCGCCATCTACCTAATACCTCCCTCTCCCCATCTACTAACTCCCCTACTCTGTTTTTAACTGACAAATCCATACTTTCCCTAGGCTTTCTTAATTTGTTTAACTTGTTTAACTTGTAAAATATATAAAGTAATTTGCAGGTGCTATTTTTCTTTAGACCTTGTGAATATGGAAATTCCTTGAAAATACTTCTTAACACCTAATGCAGGAGGGATTTTCCACAACCATTATTCAGTCATTGAGAGCATAGGCAATGGGGTCGAAGAGGTATGGGGTAGGTTTAAAAATGTAGTGTTGGAGTGTTCAGCAGAAGTTTGTGGTTACAGGAAGGTGGGTGCGGGAGGGAAGAGGAGCGATTGGTGGAATGATGATGTAAAGAAAAAGTTAGCATATGAGAAGTTTTTACAAAGTAGAAGTGATGCAAGGAGGGAAGAGTATATGGAAAAAAAGAGAGAGCTTAAGAGAGTGTTGAAGCAATGTAAAAAGAGAGCAAATGAGAGAGTGGGTGAGATGTTATCAACAAATTTTGTTGAAAATAAGAAAAAGTTTTGGAGTGAGATTAACAAGTTAAGGAAGCCTAGAGAACAAAAGGATTTGTCAGTTAAAAATAGGGGAGGGGGAAATTATCAAATGGAGAGTTAGAGGTATTGGGAAGATGGAGGGAATATTTCGAGGAATTGTTTTAAAAATTGATGAAGATAGGGAAGCTGTGATTTCGTGTATAGGGCAAGGAGGAATAAAAATCTTGTAGGTGAGGAGAGCCAGTTGTGAGTGTGGGGAAGTTCGTGAGGCAGTAGGTAAAATGAAAAGGGGGTAAGGCAGCCGGGATTGATTGGATAGAAAGAAATGTTAAAAGCAGGTGGGGGTATAGTTTTTGGAGTGGTTGGTGCAATTATTTAATAAATGTATGGAAGAAGGTAAGGTACCTAGGGATTGGCAGAGAGCATGCATAGTTCCTTTGTATAAAGGCAAAGGGGACAAAAGAGAGTGCAAAAATTATAGAGGGATAAGTTTGTTGAGTATACCTGGTAAAGTGTATGGTAGAGTTATTATTGAAAGAATTAAGAGGAAGACGGAGAATAGGATAGCAGATGAACAAGGAAGCTTTAGGAAAGGTAGGGGGTGTGTGGACCAGGTGTTTACAGTGAAACACATAAGGGAACAGTATTTAGATAAGGCTAAAGAGGTCTTTGTGGCATTTATGGATTTGGAAGAGGCATATGACAGGGTGGATAGGGGGGGACAGTGAGGCTCAAGTTAGAGTATGTAGGAAAGAGGGAAATTATTTCCCAGTAAAAGTAGGCCTTAGACAAGGATGTGTGATGTCACTGTGGTTGTTTAATATATTTATAGATGGGGTTGTAAGAGAAGTAAATGCGAGGGTCTTGGCAAGAGGCGTGGAGTTAAAAGATAAAGAATCACTCAAAGTGGGAGTTGTCACAGTTGCTCTTTGCTGATGACACTGTGCTCTTGGGAGATTCTGAAGAGAAGTTGCAGAGATTGGTGGATGAATTTGGTAGGGTATGCAAAAGAAGAAAATTAAAAGTGAATACAGGAAATAGTAAGGTTATGAGGATAACAAACAGATTAGGTGATGAAAGATTGGATATCAGATTGGAGGGAAGAGTATGGAGGAGGTGAATGTATTCAGATATTTGGGAGTGGACGTGTCAGCGGATGGGTCTATGAAAGATGAGGTGAATCATAGAATTGATGAGGGGAAAAGGGTGAGTGGTGCACTTAGGAGTCTGTGGAGACAAAGAACTTTGTCCTTGGAGGCAAAGAGGGGAATGTATGAGAGTATAGTTTTTACCAACGCTCTTATATGGGTATGAAGCATGGGTGATGAATGTTGCAGCGAGGAGAAGGCGGAGGCAGTGGAGATGTCATGTCTGAGGGCAATGTGTGGTGTGAATATAATGCAGAGAATTCGTAGTTTGGAAGTTAGGAGGAGGTGCGGGATTACCAAAACTGTTGTCCAGAGGGCTGAGGAAGGGTTGTTGAGGTGGTTCGGACATGTAGAGAGAATGGAGCAAAACAGAATGACTTCAAGGGTGTATCAGTCTGTAGTGGAAGGAAGGCGGGGTAGGGGTCAGCCTAGGAAAGGTTGGAGGGAGGGGGTAAAGGAGGTTTAGTGTGCGAGGGGCTTGAACTTCCAGCAGGCATGCATGAGCGTGTTTGATAGGAGTGAATGGAGACAAATGGTTTTTATTACTTGACGTGCTGTTGGAGTGTGAGCAAAGTAACATTTATGAAGGGGTTCAGGGAAACCGGCAGGCCGGACTTGAGTCCTGGATATGGGAAGTACAGTGCCTGCACTCTGAAGGAGGGGTGTTAATGCTGCAGTTTAAAAACTGTAGTGTAAAGCACCCTTCTGGCAAGACAGTGATGGAGTGAATGATGGTGAAAGTTTTTCTTTTTCGGACCACCCTGCCTTGGTGGGAATCGGCCAGTGTGATAATAAAAAATAATTTTGCCAAACATTTGCTTGGCCTCTTTCTGCTTATTCAGTGTTGGTCCAGAACACAGGACTCCAAATACCACACAAATCTGACAAGACCACCATACATTGGAGACAATACTTTTCAAAAATACAAACATTCCTTTTAGGTAGGTACAAAATTGCACAAAGTTCTAAGTAATGACGAGCTATTTTCAAATTATCACATGGAGAACAAAGCAACAGCAGATATAACATGCAAAAGTAAAGTAAAATCCTATATAGTCCAGAAGTTTCCAAAAACCACCATATCCTAATACAGTATTCAATGCTATAAAAACTAAATACAATGGTACTTCAGTATACGTCCCCTTTGGAATAAGTGCAACTTGGGATACATCCTGTTTGGACACAAAAATTTTTGCCTGATATATGACCTTTGTTTGGAATATGACTCGCATGCTAGAACTTGT